GTGGTTTACAAATAGCACTGTTCTGTATTGTCTCGAAATGACCACCTTCAGTAGATTGACGGTTCGCGCAAGTGACCCAACATTTGGTATCACAGCACTACACCTACATATGACACAGATAGTTGTTCGTTTTCCCGTATCACAGGTGTTAGATACAATAAGAGAGATACACAAAGATACCGAAGAAAACGTGAAAAACGCAGTATTTAGAAAAATACAGGGCTCCAACAAAGTAATAAATTAGGCTGTTGGGCGAGATCGGAAATAATGGTGTGGCAGAAGAGGTTTGTAGCGATTCGTGCGTTTCAGGGTGCGCGCGGCAAACTGCGCGGCGAAATTCCGTGCAATTTGGAGGACTGCAGCATTTTTCATTGGGGCCCAAATTTGAAGTAAAGTAGGTTATTAGGATTGCCCGACCCTACTGAAGTACTCTACCTCAAGTTTGTGCCCCAATTATAGGCGCCAGAGTTGTTTGAATCATTGCGAATTTCGCTGCGCAAGATGCCGCGCCCAATCAGAATCGCACGAATCGCTCGTCTCCCGTTCGGGCCAGCTGTCCGCGTCTGCAACCGCGTACAGCTTATTTAAAAGGCGCTGATGGATCAGAATAATCCTCTCTTGCGATCCCTCTGCATTGTAGACATTCTGATGCAACTAGCATTCAGTGGGTCGAAAGAAACATAATTTCCACCCCTTCTTCTTGGACACCACTCGACGATGGACGAGTGTGTCCTGGCGCAATAGTGCAATCTGAATCGCCTCGGCAACTCTTCTGGCATATCATCGGTCAATGGGCTTAGACTTCGACGAATCCGATAGTGTGCCTCCTATTATGCCCTATCGGTTGAGTTTTTCGGCTCAGCGTCCTTCACCCTCAGGGGCCATTGAGCAATCTCAAGGGGGGAGCTTGGAAACCATATTTATCGTGAACTGTGCCTTTCAGAGTCGATTGTCGAGGCTACATTGTAGATACCAACGCTGTCAAAAGGCTCGGTATATAGGCATCCAATTCATTTTAGGCCGATAGCAGGTCACGTGAACTTCTGTCCGGCAGCCTTGAAGAGCATGAAATCAATCGAGTTTTCGCATGGAATGAACACCGTCAAGCACGAACTCACCCATGCTTTCGTGTTCGCCCCGCCTCTCTATCCATACTTTCCCGGAGCTGGACCACCTCAACGGTGGGAGCGATTCTGAAATAGTGGTGAATCAGGATCATTTTCAAAGATTGCAGCCCGTCCGATAACAAAACTCAGCAAGACCGCCTGGATGGCGGAATCTGTGTTCAATTTCCTGCGACCATGCACACCTACGAGTCAAATGAACAGGGACTCCCCAGAATTTTTTCTTGTATTTGATCTCGTTCCAGTGTGAGATTGCACATGGTTTCACGGCATAGCACTAGTAGGCTTCAGCATGAGCTCTCATGATCTTAGTAGAGCAACATGTTCGGTACGGCCGCATCTTTGGACATGACCTGGTGTTGTTAGTGTTGAGCTTGATTGATTGATTGAAGTATTTAAAGGGATGGAAAGGTGAACCTTATTCCTAACGTCGCGCAACGATTCACCCGTGTCGACTGGGAAACTTCAAAAGGACCGGTCGGTTAAAATGTGTGCTTCTCAAGCGCAATCCATCTCTTACATTATTTTTGCGATAGGAGTGGCCACAATAATGTTATTTCATCAGGTTGAAGCAAAACAAAAAAGTCATGAAAGCTTCAGATGGAACATGATGTCTACATGATAACCACACCGAAGGTGCGAGAAGAAGCTCGACGGCACTTCAATTGTTCGACACTGGAGGGAGCCGAAGTTGAAAATCATGGTCCACCTGCAACGATTTTCGCACACTGGGAGAAGCGTGTATTTGAGGTCGGTTATTTTCAAAAAATATCCCGAAATGTTGTGCTGATCGAGGTCGGAATAAAGGAGGAGATGTGGGAAATAGGAGACGAATAGAGGAAGAGAGCCATCCGTGTAAACCAGCAGACATAGACACATACTTGTTCTTAACGCTAGGAGGTTCGGGAGGTAAAGGTGATCATCTCGTATCGCGGTAGCAACAATTGGATTAAGCAGTGTTTAGTACTAGTGGGTGAGAGGGAGTTGAACGAGACAGTATTACACTTCAATAGGGTAACGAACTTATGAAAATAGAATGCGCATGCTTGCGGTCAAGGAATGGATAAACCAACATGGTATCAGCCTGAACTTAAACCAAAATAGAGCTCAGGCTAAGTTTTCTTTGTAGTCGTAATAATAGAATCGAACACTGTCAAGACTGAGGGCATCAAATAGATTCACAGATACGAAGCTTATAAGCCTAATTACCTCTTGCGCCTTTTTTACACAATTCTGATACTTGATATGATTGTTTGTGCTGAGCAGCCTTTCGCGTCCCTAGGTCGAACGAATCATCGAGGTTGAACAGAGTAAAAACAATAGTCTCAAAGTCTCATAAGGTAAAGATGAGCGGTCTCTACAGGTTCGGAGTTTCTCCTTCCAGTCGCGATTTCTGAATCACGTCAAACTTTTCGAAATGCGCAATGATTCCCAACACGAGGCGAAATGCGGTGAAATCTTCCTGGGATCTCCATTTTCAGGACGAGATGATGTCTGGAATTTATACGCAAGTAGCTGCCATGTCTCGTGTGACGTTGGCATTATTCGAAGATTCTGGTTGGTACAAAGTGAATTACGAGTGAGTCATTGTTGTTAACACCATTGCAGTAACTTTCTGGTTAC